ATGTTATATTTTGAGACTGATCATAAAAACAAAATGGATTAAAAGAAGAACTAAACAGATCTTTCTCATATTGCAATGATCGATTCTATTTCTTTCACATTAAGTACTGTACTAGTAAATATGTGAAATGACAAACTCACTTTGAAGGTTGGCTTTCATACACATCAGTATTAAGTTTAGATCAAAAGTTACCTCAAGGTGCATTTACTGTTAACATGACTCGATCAAACAGATTAGAGGAAAGAAGAGAAAAGATCGAACTGACAAAGAACTAATGAAGATGGTACAAAGGTGGGCGCCAAGATCCCTCTGGGATCTCTTGTTGTATATAACATAAGATAAAAGATATTGTTACATGTTTCCACAAAATCATGTGTCCACAAAAAAACGCTATTTGAAATACAACAAAAAATCAAGAGCAACATAATTAAATGATTTCACAGTATCATGGGTTATCACAGCTAAGGACCAAGGGGAACCTACATATAAAATTTGAGAAAGATCCCTCTGGTACTTCTTGGGAAATAGTGATAACAAACTTTCACTATCAAAATCCAAGATGGCTGCCTGTCGGCCATGTTGTTTTGGGAAACCTTTTCCTTTTATAATGGAGTCAAAGGTTACGAGGTCAAAGTTCACAATTTTGTACGTTTTGTTTTTCATGTCCCCGCCATTCTATTGGAGGCATACAGTATCATTTTACTAATGGCCATCCTGATAATCCTGTCCAGATTCTGAGTCATGGATCTATCAACTTAATTTTTTCTTTTTAGATTTCGATCAAGCATTATACAAAAGTCAAGTTTGCAGATAACCTGGAAGGAGTTTATATTTCAGTATCCAAAGGTTAAGGGAAAGTTCTCCAGTATTTATACTATTCGTAGAAATTTGTCAAAAATTAACACTTATTTGCATGGGGACAGGGCCAGTGATTTCTAAAAATATTAATAGTTTATTACAATTTTTTAAATAACTCTTCAGTTTCTCGTAATCATTTTTTTGCATGGTCTCAAATTTACTATTCCATTATATGAATTATTATAGTTTTTAGCTCATACAGCAGCGTCCGTCGTCCGTCTTCCGTCCTCAACTTTTCCTTTAAAACGCTACTAGTCCTGAACGGTTAAGTATATTTTGACTAAATTTGGTCTGGAACTACCTTATGCCAAGAGGACTCAATTTTGTAAAGATCACGGGTGTTGCCCCCCTTGGGGCAGAGGGGTGGGGCCCTTTATGGGAAATAGAGGTAAAACCTTTAAAATTCTTCTTCTACCGTAGGGATAAAGGGATTTTATCCTAATTCAGTCTTGGGCATCATTGGGCCAATGGGACTCAATTTCGTATAGACCGTGGGTCTGTCCCCCCGCCCCCCGCGAGGCTGAGGGGCGGGGCCCAATAGGGGGCCTTATAGGGGAAATATAGCAAATTCTTTAAAATCCTTCTTCTGTAGGAATGAAAGTATTTGTTCCATATTTGGTCTGAAGCATCCTTGGGTGAAGGGGAACCAATTTTGTATAAACCGTGTGTCTGGCCCCAGGGACAGAGGGGCGGGGCCCAATAGGGGAAACAAAGCAAATTATTCTTTAAAATCCTTCTTCTTCTGTAGGATTAGAAGAATTTGGTCCATATTTGGTGTGGAGCATCCTTTGGTGAAGGGGAACCAATTTTGTATAAACCCTGGGTCTGGCCCCAGGGGCAGAGGGGCGGGGCCCAATAGGGGAAACATAGCAAATTATTCTTTAAAATCCTTCTTCTTCTGTAGGAATGGAAGTATTTGGTCCATATTTGGTGTGGAGCATCCTTTGGTGAAGGGGAACCAATTTTGTATAAACCCTGGGTCTGGCCCCAGGGGCAGAGGGGCGGGGCCCAATAGGGGAAACATAGCAAATTATTCTTTAAAATCCTTCTTCTTCTGTAGGAATGGAAGTATTTGGTCCATATTTGGTGTGGAGCATCCTTTGGTGAAGGGGAACCAATTTTGTATAAACCCTGGGTCTGGCCCCAGGGGCAGAGGGGCGGGGCCCAATAGGGGTAACATAGCAAATTAATCTTTAAAATCCTTCTTCTGTAGGAATGAAAGTATTTGTTCCATCTTTGGTCTGAAGCATCCTTTGGTGAAGGGGAACCAATTTTGTATAAACCGTGGGTCTGGCCCCAGGGGCAGAGGGGCGGGGCCCCATAGGGGAAACATAGCAAATTATTCTTTAAAATCATCCTTCTTCTGTAGGAATGAAAGTATTTGTTCCATATTTGGTCTGAAGCATCCTTTGGTGAAGGGGACCCAATTTTGTATAAACCGTGGGTCTGGCCCCAGGGGCAGAGGGGCGGGGCCCAATAGGGGTAACATAGCAAATTAATCTTAAAAATCCTTCTTCTGTAGGAATGAAAGTATTTGTGCCATATTTGGTCTGAAGCGTCCTTTGGTGAAGGGGAACCGGTTTTGTATAAATCGTGGGTCTGGCCCCAGGTTGCAGAGGGGCGGGGCCCATTAGGGGAAACATAGCAAATTATTCTTTAAAATCCTTCTTCTTCTGTAGGAATGAAAGTATTTGTTCCATATTTGGTCTGAAGCGTCCTTTGGTGAAGGGGAACCAGTTTTGTATAAATCGTGGGTCTGGCCCCAGGTTGCAGAGGGGCGGGGCCCAATAGGGGAAACATAGCAAATTATTCTTTAAAATTCTTCTTCTTCTATAGGAATGAAAGTATTTGTTCCATATTTGGTCTGAAGCATCCTTTGGTGAAGGGGAACCAATTTTGTATAAACGGTGGGTATGAACCCCCTAGGGGCATAGGGGTGGGGCTCTGTTTGAAATTTGTTCTTGCCATATCTCAAGTACTGGATGGATCTTTTTGAAATTTCATATGTACTTACAGCACCTACAATGGAGTGATATATCTTTACTTCATACTTATTATTTTAAACATATTCAGGTGAGAGATACAGGCCCTCTGGGCCTCTTGTTCAGTTTAAAATTCATGGGGTTCACCTTTTGGACAGAAATCTGTGTACCTTTTCCAAGTTAAGCAGCTTACCTTTGTTTAACCTTTTGTTTCTGATTGAACAGAGAATCCTGAGACAACTAATGTGCACTGGGCAAGAGGGTAAATGTTTGAAGGAAACCAAGTCTGAGGAAAGCTTACTGACTAGGAAGGAAAGACACCTCACTCACTCCAATGTAGACAGCAGGACTGAACGTCCTTCTCTCGAAGATGTCCAAGAAATGGTGAACTGGTGGGTCACGGAAAACCAAGTTTGACTCCAACTGAAAGACTCCAACTGAGTTGACAGATAAATTAATATGTTTGTAAAAGACAATCAAGGGTATACTAAAAGATGTGTTCAGAATGTCATTATACATAGAGTAGATTTTGTCAATGGACTGAGCCAATATCAAAAGCAATGCTGTTTACACCCAATCAAAGGAAGCTGTGTACTGTTAATACCACATCTATGTTTACGGTTTACTCTTTAAACCCAGTTGAAGGCTTGATGTATACTCTCTACATCCAGTTGAGGTTCACCACTGTAGACTGTAATGGTTTTATCCAGATCAATACTTGGTAGAGTTTATTGAAGTTATATAGGGGTGAAAAGGTTAAAGTCATGTTGAGTGTTGATGCCAGCACTTTACACAAAGTGGAGGGGTGCATGGTATCTACTCTATTCACCCAATCTAGGGTTGGTTTAACCCTTTGCACCCAGGCTCACAGTTGAGGATGGATGTGAACTCAAGTAATGAGATATCACTCTTCTTGCAATGAGCTTACTTCAGGGTTACAGAATTCAGTTGTGTCACTTGCCTGAAAACACCCTTGTATTTCCTGATATCCCTCGATTCAAGGAATTTACAATGATTTACTGTGATACCAATGTTCCGAAAGAGGATTTTACAATGTTGATAAATGTTTGTTGATGACATTGTTTTGTTATTTGTGCTTTGATTAAATTTAAGTTTATGATGTATGGCTTTACTTGTATTTGTTTTCATGTACATGAAAGTGATATTTTAGAGGTTAAAAACATAATTGTTTAAACCTCTGAAACAAAAATTATCTGTGTGTCCAGTTGGACCATAATTTTAAAGAGCTGAAGCATATTTAATAAAAAACACTTAGTATGTGTCCTAGGACAAAATCTTATCACACATTATAGCACACACGTCTGTACCTCCAAGTTTTAAAGTCACAGCAATGAGTCAACTATGGCTGCAACAATATATTTCTATATTTTAAAAACGGTTTGATACACAATCTTTTAAGAGGGGTTATCTCTCCTTCACGTTCAAGCTTCCGAGAGAGGTTATCTCTCCTTCACATTCCAGCTTCTGTAGAGGGGTTATCTCCCCTTCATGTTCCAGATTCTGTAGAGCGGTTATCTCACCTTCATATTCCAGCTTCTGTAGAGGGGTTATCTCACCTGCATGTTCTAGCTTCTGTAGAGGGGTTATCTCACCTTCATATTCCAGCTTCTGTAGAGGGGTTATCTTCCCTTCACATCCCAGCTTCTGTAGAGCGGTTATCTCACCTTCATATTCCAGCTTCTGTAGAGCAGTTATATCCCCTTCATGCTCTAGCTTCTGTAGAGGTGTTATCTCACCTTCATGTATTCCAACTTCTGGAAATGGAGTGTCTCATCGTCACATTCCAGCTTCTGCAGAGGGGTTATCTTCCCTTCCCATTCCAGCTTCTGTAAGAGCAGTTATCTTCACGTCACATTCCAGATTCTGTAGAGCGGTTATCTCACCTTCAAGTTCTAGCTTCTGTAGAGGGGATATCTCACCTTCATGTTCCAGATTCTGTAGAGGGGTTATCACGCCTTCACATTCCAGCTTCTGTAAGAGCAGTTATCTTCACGTCACATTCCAGATTCTGTAGAGCGGTTATATCCCCTTCATGTTCTAGCTTCTGTAGAGGGGTCATCTTCCCTTCACATTCCAACTTCTGGAAATGGAGTGTCTCATCGTCACATTCCAGCTTCTGCAGAGGGGTTATCTTCCCTTCACATCCCAGCTTCTGTAGAGGGGTCATCTTCCCTTCACATTCCAACTTCTGGAAATGGAGTATCTCATCGTCACATTCCAGCTTCTGTAGAGCAGTTATATCCCCTTCATGCTCTAGCTTCTGTAGAGGTGTTATCTCACCTTCATGTATTCCAACTTCTGGAAATGGAGTGTCTCATCGTCACATTCCAGCTTCTGTAAGAGCAGGTATCTTCACTTCACATTCCAGATTCTGTAGAGCGGTTATCTCACCTTCAAGTTCTAGCTTCTGTAGAAGGGTTATCTCCCTATCATGTTCCAGCATCTGTAGAGGGGTTATCACACCTTCATGTTCCAGATTCTGTAGAGCGGTTATATCCCCTTCATGTTCTAGCTTCTTTAGAGGGGTTATCTTCCCTTCCCATTCCAGCTTCTGTAAGAGCAGGTATCTTCACTTCACATTCCAGATTATGTAGCGTGGTTATCTTTTCACAATTCTCCCCTTCACATTTTAGCTTCTGTAGAGAGGTTATCTCCCCTTCATATTCCAGCTTCTGTAGAGCGGTTACCTTCCCTTCACATTCAAGCTTCTGTAGAGCAGTTATCTTCCCTTCACATTCCAACTTCTGGAAATGGAGTATCTCATCGTCACATTCCAGCTTCTGTAAGAGCAGTTATCTTCACTTCACATTCCAGATTCTGTAGAGTGGTTATCTTTTCACAATTCTCCCCTTCACATTTTAGCTTCTGTAGAGGGGTCATCTTCCCTTCACATTCCAGCTTATGTAGAGGGGTTATCTCCCCTTCACATTCCAGCTTATGTAGAGCAGTTATCTTCCTTCACATTACAGCTTCTGTAGAGCGGGTACCTTCCCTTCACATTCCATCTTCTGTATAGCAGTTATCTTCCTTCACATTACAGCTTCTGTAGAGCGGTTAACTTCCCTTCACATTCCAGCTTATGTAGAGCAGTTATCTTCCTTCACATTACAGCTTCTGTAGAGCGGTTATCTCACCTTCATGTATTCCAACTTCTGGAAATGGAGTATCTCATCGTCCCATTCCAGCTTCTGTAGCGCGGTTACCTTCCCTTCAAATTCCAGCTTCTGTGGAGCCGTTATCTTCCCTTCACATTCCAACTTCTGGAAATGGAGTATCTCATCGTGACATTGCAGCTTCTGTAAGAGCAGTTATCTTCACTTCTCATTCCAGATTCTGTAGAGCGGTCATCTCACCTTCATGTTCCAGCTTCTGTAGAGCAGTTGTCTTCCCTTCACATTCCATCTTCTGTATAGCAGTTATCTTCCTTCACATTACAGCTTCTGTAGAGCGGTTGCCTTCCCTTCACATTCCATCTTCTGTATAGCAGTTATCTTCCTTCACATTACAGCTTCTGTAGAGCGGGTACCTTCCCTTCACATTCCATCTTCTGTATAGCAGTTATCTTCCTTCACATTACAGCTTCTGTAGAGGGGTAATCTCATTTTCATGTTCCAGATTCTGTAGAGTGGTTATCTTTTCCCAATTCTCCCCTTCACATTTTAGCTTCTGTAGACGGGTTATCTCCCCTTCACGTTCTAGCTTCTGTAGAAGGGTTATCTCCCCTTCACGTTCTAGCTTCTGAAGAGAGGTTATCTTACCTTCACATTCCAGCTTATGTAGAGCAGTTATCTTCCTTCACATTACAGCTTCTGTAGAGCGGTTGCCTTCCCTTCACATTCCATCTTCTGTATAGCAGTTATCTTCCTTCACATTACAGCTTCTGTAGAGCGGGTACCTTCCCTTCACATTCAAGCTTCTGTAGAGCAGTTATCTTCACGTCACATTCCAGATTCTGTAGAGGGGTTATCTCCCCTTCACGTTCTAGCTTCTGAAGAGAGGTTATCTTACCTTCACATTCCAGCTTATGTAGAGCAGTTATCTTCCCTTCACATTCCAACTTCTGGAAATGGAGAATCTCATCGTAACATTCCAGCTTCTGTAAAGCAGTTATCTTCCCTTCAGATTCCAACTTCTGGAGATGGAGTATCTCATCGTGACATTGCAGCTTCTGTAAGAGCAGTTATCTTCTCTTCACATTCCAGCTTCTGTCGAGCACTTAGCTTCCCTTCACATTCCAACTTCTGGAAATGGAGTATCTCATCGTCCCATTCCAGCTTCTGTAGAGCGGTTAACTTCCCTTCACATTCCATCTTCTGTATAGCAGTTATCTTCCTTCACATTACAGCTTCTGTAGAGGGGTAATCTCATTTTCATGTTCCAGATTCTGTAGAGTGGTTATCTTTTCACAATTCTCCCCTGCACATTTTAGCTTCTGTAGAGGGGATATCTCCCCTTCATGTTCCAGATTCTGTAGAGTGGTTATCTTCTTTTCACATTCCAGCTACTGTAGAGCAGTTATCTTCCTTCACATTCCAGCTTATGTAGAGGGGTTATCTCCTCTTCACGTTCTAGCTTCTGTAGAAGGGTTATCTCCTCTTCACGTTCTAGCTTCTGTAGAGGGGATATCTCCCCTTCATGTTCCAGATTCTGTAGAGTGGTTATCTTCTTTTCACATTCCAGCTACTGTAGAGCAGTTATCTTCACGTCACATTCCAGATTCTGTAGAGTGGTTATCTTTTCCCAATTCTCCCCTTCACATTTTAGCTTCTGTAGAGGGGTTGTCTTCCCTTCACATTCCGGCTTCTTGAGAGCGGTTACCTTCCCTTCACATTCCAGCTTCTGTGGAGCAGTTATCTTCCCTTCACATTCCAACTTCTGGAGATGGAGTATCTCATCGTCACATTCCAGCTTCTGTAAAGCAGTTATCTTCCCTTCACATTCCAGATTCTGTAGAGTGGTTATCTTCTTTTCACATTCCAGCTTCTGTAGAGCAGTTATCTTCCCTTCACATTCCAACTTCTGGAGATCGAGTATCTCATCGTCACATTCCAGCTTTTGTAGAGCAGTTATCTTCCCTTCACATTCCAGATTCTGTAGAGTGGTTATCTTCTTTTCACAATTCCAGATTTCGTAGAAGATACATATACTCTGTATATTCTGGCATATATAAATAGTCAGGTGTCTGTATTAAACTAAGTGTTCCTGACCCGATATTTATAACTACAGGCAGACTTAAAACCTCACTTGATCTAACTCTCATTATTTGATTTTAGTTTTAATTTCATTTATTCATTTTTAGGGGGTGTATTTCTATGAGGAAAACTGTTTGAAAAACTCTTGGAGATCCAAAATACAATCGATTACTTTTGATGTTTTGTGCTGTTGATCGCGATGTTTCCTTATCAGGAAACCTTGGACTAGTTACATTGACGAAGGACTAGTCATACAATTTATTCAACTAGTCCTGTGGACTACAAAACAAAAAAAGAGTTCTACGTGAAATTTGGACCCCGGGTAGGTTTTCTACGCGGGTCACTTTTTCATGTTACACTGGCATTTGGGGTCATGTGCACTTTTATTATTTTAGTTATTGTATGTGACCGGTAAAATGCATCATTAACATCGATATAAAAATTGGCCTGTGACCTTTGAAGTAACAATTTTGTTTCAATTGGTTCTTGTATAAGTGAATACAGCTTGGTCTAAACGATAAATGCGTTGGGGAATTATACTTGTACCAGGTAGGAAGTGGTGAAATGAAGTCTTAATTAGGGTACACCAATTAAACACAACATAACACTGCTGAGTGCACTTAATTGACACCCAAGACTCTCTATTATCACATTTCCTGATGTTTATATTATATTGATTAAACTAAATATATCTAGTTAACGTCACAGAATCCCGTTGGTATAAAAACCGCCTGTTTATTTACATGTACCTCACCTGATTTTTATATCTATAGGCCCCCCGATGCACAGTCACAGCATCCCGTTGGTATAAAAACCGCCTGTTTATTTATGTACCTCACCTGATTTTCACACAAGCTGTGGCTGATGGTGACGCCATTTCGACTTCGAAGCATCGCGTTGGTTTAAC